CACAGCAGGCTCGAGCGCTTCAGCGTGAGGCTCTTTATGTTGCCTACTTTACAGGAAAGAGGCCCAACGTAACTTGATGAGTGCACCCGCAGAAATTAAACTAACCCTTAAGTGCTTTACTGGAACAAACCCGTGGATGGCTAACTTCTCCTGTGCTGTATCAGATCTGTTCAGTGTAGCTCCAGTAGCCAGTGAGCACTACTGTTTTACAGATCTCAGGTAGAGGTTAATGTTGGCGTGAGGGCATGTGCAGAATTACTGGCATACTCTGGTATAAGAATTTAAAACTTTCTGGAATTTAAGACTCTTGTGATAAAGAGGGAACCTTGACAGCTATTCTAAAGCTAAAGTAGCAGTTGATCTACCTGAAGCATGAGGGGGTGAAAGGAGGAGAGAGATGGAACATCAGCAAGAACTTGCTGTATTGCTGGCTCTCAATACTGAATTGTGTATGCACTAATCCACAGAACAGATACGTTGTAGGCAGTAGTGGTGCAAGATTCACTCAGTCATCGGCATGCCTTAGCCTTGACTGGAGGAACCTTTCTGGGTGCAAGTGTAACTGAATTGCCATGAGCATTAACTTGTCCACACTTGACACTAGAAGAATACCCAATATTTTACTGTGTTGGCTTTTGTAACCTGCCCACTAGAAAATGGAAATAAGCCATCAACTAGCTATTAGATAATGGAACCTTTGTCACATGTGACAGACATCTACTACTTTCTTCTTAGAGCCAAGTGAAGTGTTGGTTCAAGGGGTGGTTAAGTGCTACTGTTCACTTAATATTTACTTGACACATGTCCAATGATTAAAACCTTTTCACTGCTGTTCACATCATGATGTGCTGTGATTAGTATCTGTTTGGATGAGGATATGTGATTTAAAAACCGACATAATGTGCTGACATAACTTAAGTGGAAGGCTGGGTTAAACCAATAATTATTACTAATGCAAATAACTGTTGCTGCTAATGTTGATACTTTTTGCACTGATGTAATTTTGGGAAGAAAAATCACTTTTAAAATGTATGTTCTTACTCCTTTAGGGATTGTTCTACTGACAAGATCTGCCAGGCAAGCTTGGAATCTGGAAGTTCACATTACTTAGCTATTGTTCAGGTGAGGGTTTCATTAAGTGATTTTGAAGTACAGCTGATTTTCCTAATTAAACTTCACATTTGAAAGACTATTGTTGAATCCAACAATAATTTAAGGCTGTTTAAAAATGAGAACTAGATATTTAATTTTACCTACATTCTTTAGGAAGGGGCATCACTTCCCATCAGTCTAAACTGATTGTAGAAGAGAGATTGGCAACTTAGCAGTGAATTCCAAGAAGTTGTAACTTGCCAATGTTAGGTGTAAGTAGTCCTCTTCTTTGATGTGGGGTTTGTTTGTTTTTTTTTTCCCCCCACACTGTGACTGACTGAACTGACAAAATAACTTAAGTGTAGATCAAGTACTAAGCATCAAAGAAGGGGGGCTCTGTGTTTTTTTTATTATTATTTCTTTTCCCCTGTAACAGTAGCTGCAGTGGTAGAATCCCTTGTGT